CTTATATTTTCTATCACATCATTCTTTCCTTGGTTATAAATATTATTTTATAAGGTAGCCAAACGTGCACAGAATCCAATAAATACAGAGTCAGATCTTAACATTCAAAACGACGAGATTTTTCTTCCATTTCTTTAGCATTGTCGGAAGCATCAATTGACGTATGTTAATCCCTTCCTTTTATCTTAATTATTCGTTACACATTCAATTAAACATTTATGCATGAATATATACACGTTTTTATCTACGAATTTAAAAATTCAAAAAGTGGTTCCCAGTTTTACTTTCTTTATGTATTTAATTTGCATTTTTGTTCGAATGATTTGCATCCCATTATGTGTATTTTATCGTATCCTAAGTTTTTGTTTTTGCATTTTTTTCCCCCACCATTTGGTTTTCGATTACATGAAGGAAAATATTTTCCAGTTTTTCACTTATAATTATTTATTGGGTTACCCATTTGGTTTTATTTTCTTTTTTAATGTTTTCTAATTTTTCTTGGTTTCAGCTGCATAAGAGATTATTTATGATTTATGACGCTGTTTTAATCAAGAAAATTAGAACTTTTTTCGTTTTTTATTCCCCCTTTTGGAACTGACAATATTTAATATATGTTTTTATTCTGTAAACAGGAAGTTTAGAGCCTAATGACTGTATGATGGATTCCATGTGCAAATTTGAAGTTGAATGTAATGTGTGAGTTGAAATAAAGTGAAATTTGTGACTTTTTGCTGTTTAGGATTGGTCTATTTATCAGCTTTTGTTGTGTAGTTCTATTAGATTCATATTAAAGCTTAAATTAAAAAGAAAATGGTGGTTTGTTTGGATCGAAGTATGAGCTTTCTTGCGTATTAGAAAAATTGGGTTGGGGTGAAAGATTTGTTGGTTTTGTTGGCTCATAGTAAGTTGTAATTGGCATAGGAGTTCAAGTATTCAATGGATCATTTGGTAATTTACTGTTGGTTAATTCAGTAAATTGAAATTTCCAATTTATATATCAGAAAGAGGTTTCGAAGGATGGGAGATGCAGATTCAACGGGTGGTTGTCTAGACATAGATTTGGAGAATGGGGGAACTATGAGTGAGGAAAATGGAACCAAATCAAAAGGTCTGAGTGGTGGGAGTTCAAAGAAATTGTTGAGTAGGGTGAGAAGTGGGTTTCTGAGAGGAGAATCACCGGATGGATCTAAAAGGTTTAGTGATCGTTCGCATTCATATGATAAATTGTTGGATTTGGATGAGGTTTCTTTGACGAATATGGAGTTCAAGTTTGGAAAGGTTAGGAATGAGACGATGAATTTTTTGGATAAGGAGAAGTCTAAAAACCCAAACTTTGTAAAGCCTTCAAAACCACCCCGGCCTCCCAAAGGTCCCTCATTGGATGCTGCAGACTTGAAGATGCTCAAGGAAATCTCCATGCTCAACTTGAAACGCAAACGGATGGAAAAAATGAGGACCTTAAAGACAATAAAGAAGGAGAAGGCATCCTCGTTGAGTACTAATCTTTTTGCCATATTTGTCACCATAATCTTCTTTTATGTGATTATATATCAAGGTAATAACTTCATACTTTTGGTGCTTGTCATATTTTTCTTTGCACTGATGAATCTATGTAACTTCTTGAAATTCCTCTACTAGTAATTTGTAAATATTGCAGATCCTAATGATCTACATGGTGAATTTAGCACTGAATCTTAGTTTTTGACAGAATAAGGATTAGATCTACTATCTTCAGACATCCTCTCAAAATTTATGAATTGTTAAAGCTCAAGAGTTTATATATTTTATATTTATGTAGCGTTAGATTACGTTGGTCCTAGTAATATATTACAAAGAACAAACATCTATAAAGAACGTGGAATGCACTGTGTTCATCTTCAAAAACCAGGTTAACATAGAGTTAGAAGACTATTTGAAGTGTAAATCTTGACACTTGGATATGGAGAGATGAATCCGCTTGTTAATTCTGATAGGTGGGCACTTGAGAAATTAACAAATGCAGAAGAGGGGGAAAATGGCTAATTTATATACGGACCATAGCATAGTTCAATGCTAGTGGTTTCACCTTCTACTTGTCGAAGTTGTACTTTCTAATATTTTTCCATTTTTCTTCTTCCAAACTCCCTTTACTCTTATGTTTTAGTTAAATTTATTAATGGTATGTGTCTTCTATTCTCAATGTTCAGGCCTTCTGGGTTCACTTTCACGCATGTGATGCCTGTATGCACTCCTCACCAATTTTCCGAGTAAAATTCCTATCTATTTTCTTTCGCCTTTGTATTTTTCTGTCTGTAAACATTGAATATATTAACATGCGAGCTATATAGTTCTCTTCTGGAACAAAAGGTATCTTGTTTAGCTGTAATTGTGGATTCAACTGTAGGATCAGAAATTGCTGTAATCTGTGGATTATTTGAAGCTCAATACTAGTTATATAACTGATATTCCTAGGCTACATTTGCTTTGATAACTACGATGAAACTCTTGAGCTATTCCCACATATCAAAAGATTCCTGTCCGTGAAAATCTACACTTCTAAAATTCGTAAGATAGACGGGATTGTAGCATTTGATACTTGCACGGTATCCATAATTTCAATTCATCTAAGTTTCTTTAAGTAGGTACCCTTCATGCTTGATTATTTTGGGGATGCCGCAAAGGATTTAGCAATCTTTTCTGCAACTACCTCTCTTCCTAATGTTCCCTTCTCCCCCTGTTTCGTCTTGAACCATATTGATTACGAGTATTAGGGGCCGTTCTCTTTGCCTTTTTCAAGTCGTTTTCTATTTTCGATTTTTCAAAACGGCGAAAAAGCGTTCTCTTCGTCATTTTCGAACACAAGATATTCGAAAACGAAAAAAAAATAAATTGTGAAGAAAACAGAAAACGGCCAAAAAGCCGTTTTCCGCGTTTCCTTCACAAACACAGCAAAAAATGGAAAACACGGGAAATGGCCCAAAACGACTTCCTCCTTTCTGCTGCAACACAG